AAGATGTTAATCACCAATTATATTATTTTCTAAATCCAATCAATTGAGTTTAGATATTGAGCCTAGGTCACTACCAAGTCTTCAACAATCATAATGGGTGAAATGGTGGTTATCAAAGTTTTGATTTTAAATGATGTACATTCTTATCAAATAATCAAATCATCCTCAACTTTCAGCTTAAGAGAAGTAAATCATCCTCTTTCTGGCTTAAGCCCCTTACTTTAAGAATCATTTGGTTTTGATTAACTACCAAGTCATGAAGATTAGAAGATTTATAATCTTATTGACATTGTGCAAAGGTGGTGAGTGGGTTTCTATCTTTTAATCTCATTATATTTCAATCATCCAAACATATTCATTAAGATCAAAATTAACCATTTTATCTTGATTAATCCTAAATTTTGATTAAGGCACGAAAGTCTAAAATTACCACTTTGCCCTTGGGGCACTTCACCTTATAACTCATTAAACACAACTCAGATGACTTTTAAAGTGTCATATCTATTAAAGTTTTTTATTTATGGAAAAATTGTTAAAGGCTTTCTAAAGTCAGAAAAACACTTACGTAAGATTTCATGATTTGTTTGAATTAAATTATTATTATTATTTAATTTTTAACTAATTTATTAATTTTTAACCAATTTCAATGATTAAATTAAACATAAAATAATATTTTAATTACAAAAATTATTTTTATATTTTTAATAGACTTCTCTGAGTTCAAGAAACTCAGATAATCAAATTTTATATTTTTTTATTTTTAATTTATTTAATGTAATTATTTTAGTGATAAAATAGAGAAAATTCCTTTTAAGCCTCAAAAATTCATTTTTTTTACGTAGGAAAATTAAGAAAAATGTCTTAATGAATTATAAGTGATCAGGAAACATTTACACACATTTTGAACCATTTTTAATATTTTTTTAAAATTTTGATTATTTTAATTATTTTTAATTCAAAATACCATTTAAAAATGAAATATTCTCACAAAAAAATATTTTATTTTTACTAAATGTCCCTGAGCACAAGAAATTCAAAAAACTAAGTTTCATAATTTTTCTAAGCTTATTTAATTTAATATAATTATTCTTATACAAAAATACAAGGTTTTCTTAGAAAATCCATTTTAGTGCTTAAACTTAATCAAATATATTTCAATTTTTTACAGTGAGAAAATATGATTTTTATGAACATTGTGGGATTAATTTTACATTGTGAGATTAATTTTATTAATTTTTGATAAGAATTTAATTTACATGAATTAATACAAGATATTTACATTTAATTAATTATAAAAATTCATAAGACAATTCAAAACATCATGACATTTTTCCTAAACTTCTCTAACCACAAGAAACCTACCAAAATTTTTTCCACAATTTTCCAAGTAATTTTTTGATTTATATAATTAAAATAAGCCAAAATGGCCACTTTAGCTTAAAAATTAAGGTTAGAAGAATAGAGATACATTCTGACCTTGGAAAACTAAGAGGACATAGTCTCTGTCATGAGGAACAAACCCTCAAAATTTCAAGCCATAATGTG